GGGGGGGGGGGGGGTAGATTAAAAAAAAAACTTTGTCCGACCTACCGACCCTATGCTGAAATTTCATGTTACCGGAAACACACAACTTTTTTGTTTGGCCTAAGGAAGAAATAACAAAATACCGGAGGAGAGATGTGTTACATGTCAATGGTGACGTGTTGCAGTGGTGGAAAAAACAAGTAGATCTTCCACTGCTTTCAAAATTGGCCAGGAGCTATTTGTCCGTCCCTGCAACAAGTGTCCCCTCTGAATGAGTGTTCAGCACAGCAGGTGACATTATAACAGCAGAGCGCAGTCGGCTTCTTCCTGAACATGTGGACCAACTAATCTTTCTGAAAAAAACCTGAAGCAGTGCCATATGAAGTACATCACAAAGTGAGATGTTGATAGTGAGAGTGGCATTTACCGAAAGATCTGTTTTCTTTTTTTCTTTTTTTGACTCTTTTGGACATTTCATTTTGAGACACTCAGTGAGAGTGGTCTGTGTACGCTACAATACACACAGCAGCTTTGAGCCTGTGACTGCCATATTGTTTAAATTGTATTTTATTTTCTGTCCTATGGAGATGGATATTTCATATCAGACACTCAGTGAGAGTCGTCTGTGTTTACACTACAGCAACAGCTGTGAGTCTCAGGTGCCAAATTGTTTATATTTTCTTTGCACAAAACCCAATTGTGAAAGGGCTTAAATAAGTTGTTTTACACTTTCTACTGTTTATAAGGAATAAAGTAGTATCCTTTTTGTAATACCATACTGAATTCCATCTTTTTTAAAACTTTTTTTCTTTGCTTATTTGCATCATGTTTAATCGCACAATATTGCAACAAATTGCATTGTATCGGATCGGATCGCATTGATTTGAACTAAATGCGTATCGCATCGTATCACATCGTGAAGACGGTGAAACGTATCGCATCATGTCACCAGAAAATTCCATGTATCGTTTAAGTATCGCATCGCTGGCCGTGCATCGAGATGTGTATCGAATCGTCCTCAGTGCTGAGATTCACATCCCTACTCTGTTGTGTCGACTCAAACAAGGCGCACACAGCGAGGTCATGGCAAATGGGATGCCCCTGCCAATCCCGATGCTAGCAAGCTAGCAGCTAACGCTAGCACACTGCCAATTCCCCAATGCCTCACTCTATTCACAGGTCCACGCAATAGAAATGATTCAGGAAACGTTAAATGTTCACTAGCCTGTGAGCTGATGAGCCCGCTCACGAGCCATCTAAGGAGCAGACTGGTCACGCCTCATCGATTACGTCACCACCTGTTGTGTCAGTGTGTGGGTCCACATACGGTCACAGCGACACTTCAGGGAAAATCAACTGTTTATTAAACCACAATATCCCTTGGATAAAACTACCAGGCATTTGAGCACATACTGTTACATGTATTTGATTGACAGGTGAAAATTGAGCTGAGTGTGTTTTCAGTGCATTTAGTGGAAATGCCCACAGCACCCTATAGCTGGGAGCTGGGCTCTATGTCGCATAATTTTGGAGCCTCAATTCATATACTGTACCTGGCAATGTATTCATTTATTTATTTATTTAATTCAAATTTTGCAGGTTTGTTAACAACTCTGTCATATCCATAAGACATTTTTATTTTTGCTGAGTAGGGGCTTTAAGTTGATAAAAATCACTGTATATAAAAAAACATTCATCAAAATCTGCCCAATTAAAACGTTAAAATTTACATTTCAGCATCTGGTCATCAGAAACGCAGATTTAATATTTACAACCAAATTCTCAATATTTATCATCACCATAAAACACACAATCAAAATACAGGTATGGTGATAAAAAAAATGAGGATTATTTTGCAGAATTATTTTTTTCATGAGGGAAGAGAGATGGCACAGTCGAGTCCTGGCTCACTGTCAAAATAGTTGGCCCAACAGGTTTTCCCAGATTCAAGTGGAGAACTGGTCACAATCTCGCTCAACTGACCGACATTTCTCATTCCACGTAAAGTTTTTGTAGGCCAACAATACATGCTGAATGTGCTCAGATTGAAAAGTGAATTTAAGTAAAAATAAATGGTGACTGTTTTGTAATGCACTCTTTAGATAACTTTTTAATTTTACATAACATTTACAAAGAAATGTGTGTGCTGTCCAAAACATCAGGACTGCCGGTAGTGACCATGGAGGAGCTAGCAGTCTCAGAGGAGCCGAATGTAACTTCACTAACTGTCATCACAAATCACCCTCAACTTTACTATCTACACATCATACTATCGATCGTAATTTTTTTCACGTTTGGCTTCACGTATCATAGTCATCATATCAAAATTATGAAGGTGTGCTCGCATGCGCGTGTATGCGGACAACCTGTTCAACTTTTTTACTTTTCACTCGTTTTAACATACACTGTTCAAGTGGAAGGGTTTGAAAAACTTTATGGAGCTCGTAAATCTCATTTCCTTCACGGGATTAAGTATCTGTGTGCCGGTCTATCTGTCTATCTATCTATAGTTGCAGCACGGCGAACAAGTGGTGAGCAAGTCTGCCTCGCAGTTCTTATGCTTTGGATTTGAATTGCGGGTGCTGAGGCTTCCTCTCATATTCCCAAACCATGCATATTCATAGATGGCAATTTTCCGCGTATCCGCGGAAATCCGCCGTTTGATTTCTTAAATTGATCATTTTTGTGAATCGTCTAAATCCGTTGAGAAAATTTTAGGGTCGGTCAGGTACCTTATCGTCGAGTTTTCACGAGCTCTCCCGAACAGTCTCTCCGTTTTCCGTTTGTAAACAGCCCTGCGATTGGACGTGTATGAAAGCTTCAACTAATCAGATCACTGAAGGCATTATTTGTTGCGGAAGTCTTAGCTCGATTATAAACATCCCAGCGATTGGTTAACTACAAGCGATTGGACCAATCAAATTGCATGTAACATATTGTTTTACCTGATTCATGGCGGCCTGTTCGTCTCGCAAATTCATTGTTCTGGGATCGTTTTGAGCGGAATTATGAAAATTTTGACGAAAGATCAGGAGTCTTCAATCCTAGAAATTGACTCAAATGTCAAGAATAAATTCCGATTGGACTGGCTTGACAGAAAAGTCACTGTAAAGGTTAAAATTGGTTCCCAGTTCGACGAAGTTACAGAAGCTCTTGGACAATTTTTGAAGAAACCAGACGTAGCAGGCAAAGCTTATTGTGTGTATTGTAGTGACTTAATTAACTATGGCTCCCGTGGATGCGTGGCACTGACAGATCATGCAACAAAAGTGAAAAAACATGCCGACAAAATCGCCATTCGACGGAGCAATTATTCTTTGGGATCGGCATTTTTCAAACAAACTTAGTCAGCGGATACAACTAAAGACGTTACTGTATGAGGTAAGAATCAACAGCTTTTTATCACATTTACACAACACTTTATGAATACAAGTCATGAACAAATCTTAAATATGGCAGGGAATGTGTTTACTTTTTTAGTTTTGATTTTGAGCAGCAAATTTGAAGTTACATGTTGGTGCTCACCAGGAATGCATAAGCAAAATTGCACAAATTTTCACTTGAAAGAATAGTGAACAATCTTGGAATTTTTTTCTGTTAAAATTTCAAATAGTGTGTAAATTCAATACACTTCATCTTCAGCATGTTTAGTGCCACTTTTGTAAGTAACGTCGCCCCTGGCCAGGCCACGCCCCCGGCCAGGCCACGCCCCTTTCACTTTTTTCATCACTCGCCATTGCCATCTATGCATATTAAGCATCCACAAAACATTAGAGACCAGATAAATATCGTATTGATTTGTGTGTGCCTTTCATTAAATATATTAGCTATTGGAGTTATTTAAACGTAATCACATTACATCACTTTAACATTATGATACTTGCATCACGTTACTATCTACATATTTTTAATCCGGAAACAAGTCACTGCATCAGAATACATTTTTAAAGGAACCCCAGTAATTACGCCTGTTGTGTCCGAAAAACGTGAGGACACGACTTACTTTTTCAATGGCCTTCCCTTCTCTTCCGCACTACAGGGCACTCTGTTGCATTACAGAGCAACACCTCATGCCACGACTGGCACCTCCCCAGCTTTCCTTTTGCTGGGACGCGAATTGCAGCTGCCCCTCGATCGCCTCCGTCCTCCGACAAGAGCCACTCCAGCATCAGCGTCCTCCCCAACCAGCAGGGTGGCCAATGAGCAGCAGCGTATAAAGCGGCGATTTGATGAGAAGCGCCGGGCCAAGCAACCCACACTTACTGTGTCAGATTGGGTCCGCATTCGTTCACACAAATTGGACTCATTCTGGACAGCGCCGGTCCAGATTACTGCCCAACTTGGACCAGCCACCTTCCGTCTGGACGATGGGTCACGTTGGCATGCCAGCCGCCTCAGGAGAGTGGCATCACCGACTCCTTTGAATGAGAGAGCTGTAGCAGATCTGGACCTCTCGGACAAGGACAACGATTTTTCTGCTGCTTGTCCTAGGACCCCGGTGAGGCGCCTTCAAGAACATGGTGAACCAGCTGTGCCCGAGGGACCGGGGACTCGTTCAGCTCGGGTCCGCCTTCGGCCTCGTTATTTAGACGATTACGTCACTGACTTCTAATATTAAGTTTTAGCCAGTGCTTAGCCTGTTGCGTGGCAGAATAACCCACAAGGCTAAGCGGGTAAACCGGCAGTCTACCCGGTTTGCTCAGCTTAGGAAGGGCTTCGTTCTAGCCCTTGTTTAGGTTGTTTGTGATTTGAGAAGTTTTCCAGATTCCATCGAGGGAGGGGGTAAATGTAGCATATGGCCGTTTACCATACTGCTACACGATGTTACGACAGTGTCGCAAAGCATTGGTTGGTTGGGTGACGACTGACACCTGTTACGGCAGTTGAATAAAGACCGTTGAAAAAGTAAGTCGTGTCCTCACGTTTTTCGGACACAACAAATACCTCAGCACATGTCACATACATTTAAAAGACATGTACGACAGATCTCGAGACTTAAAACGTAGCTAACGGGGAGGATGTACTGTAAGTGGAGAGAGGGGGTCAGACAGCAGCTCAGATAGGAGCGCTGTCAGTCAAGTAAGGAGCGAACAGGAATCCAACGAAGCCATTGACATTTCAAGGGCATTATGTAGCGTTATTATCGTTTGTTTATGT